GCCTTGCTTTTATTTCTTTAGCTCTTTCTTCATTTTCCATCCTGGCTGCAATTTCTCTCCTCACAGTCTTGCTCCCCACCCTATGTCTGTTCCCATCCCTTAGTCCACTTCTCCTCCATTTCTGTTCAGGGAAGAGCAGACCTAGCATGAGTATCAACAAAACATGGCCTGTCAAGCTGCATAAGAATAAATCCCTCCCCAAGTGTTAAGTCTGAGAATGGTGACCCAGTATGAGGAGTAGGCTCCCCAAAGCTAGCAAAAAGTGTCAGAGACAGCCCCTGCTCCTCCTGCAGTCCTACAAAAAATATCAAGCTACAAAACTATAACATATATACAGAGGCCCTTGGTAAGTCCCATGCAGGCTCTCTGATTGTCGGCTCAGTCTCTGTGAGCTCCTAAGAGCCTACATTAGTTGATTCTGTGGGTTTGCTTGTGATGTTCTTGATCCCTCTTTGTCTCACAATCCCTCCCCCTCCCTTCTACAGGAATCCCTGAGCTCCACCTAATATTTGGTTGTGGGTCTGCATCTGTTTCCATCAGTTGCTGAATGAACTGACCATTGCTTTTTAGACTCACTACCCAAAGTATTATTTTTGAAGGGCAGAAGTCATTTTACAGATCTTCTCAGCTGTGAAATAGGTCATAAACCCCATGAAGCAGGATGAGCAAACCTATGTGAACCCTGTATCCTGACTGAAGAAGAGAGCCTTCTGTGAGCCGTGGGCCCTTTGTCATCTTTTGTACAAAGGGACAGAAGAGAAGAGTGCCGGTAGTGGCCAGAGGCTGTGTCATCAGCGTAGACTCACGTTCCACCGCCTGGCACACTTTATCAGACCTGCTCCCCAGAACCCACTCTAGCCAGTCTGCTCCTAGGGTCTTTGTTTCTTTATGATGGCTCCTGGGTCATGTGAAATGTTTTAGATCTATATGTGTCTCTGTTATTATCTCTCTCTTATTAGGGTGGCCTCAGTCACAAACTTGAAAATGGTGTGGGACAATTATCTGTTTTCTGTCAATTATATTTTAAATAAATGCTGATTGGTCAGTAGCCAGGCAGGAAGTATTGGCAGGACAACCAGACAGGAAGTAGAGGTGGGTCAAGGAGAACAGGAGAATTTTGGAAAGGAGGAAGCCCATCTCTCTGCAGTCCTAGCCCAGACACAGAAGAAGCAAGATGTGACTGCCTCGCTGAAAAAGGTACTGAGCCACATAGCTATCACAGATAAGAATAATGGGCTAATATAAGTTATAAGAGTTAATAGAAAGCCTGAGCTAATGGGCCAATCAGCTTATAATGTGGACCTCTGTGTGATTTCTTCGGGACTTAACCATTGCGGGAACCAGGCAGGACAGAAAAACCTCAGTCAACACGGAAAGAGTAGAGAAAATTTTAGTTTTCTAATTTTACACTATGCATTCAAAATGAATAAGAGGAATGCTATGAAAGAATGCTATGAATCAGGAAACCTACAAAACTCAATGAATTATTTATTGTGTGTGCATGTGTTTATGTATGTTTGTGTTTATATATGTGTGTGCATGTGTCTACGTGTGTGTTATGTATGCCTGTGGACATCTGCATGTAGACAAAGGAGGACCTCTGATGTCCTGTTCTATTGATCTCCACCCTATTATCTGGAGCAGTGGTCTCTCACTGGGCATGGAGCTGGACTGACAGCCAGCAAGCCCCAACTCTGTCTGTCACAGTGATAGGCACACCCAGGTTTTATGTGGGTGCCAAGGATTTGAACTCAGGTCCTCAGTTTTACACAGCAAACAATACATATAATTCATTTATCCTGAAGTTTGAAAGCAGAAATAACTTTGTCCTGCACTGAAGACTGCTCACCCTGCTACAAGGGGAGTATCATGGCTGTGCAAACAGTGACAATGCTAGCTTCACCCAGAGCTTTCTAATTGCTCATATCTTTATCTCTGACTGTTAAGCACTGAAATACTTGTGGGGAAGCATACAGGCTCGCTACACAAGTTCTTAATCCCTTAAGGCCATCATCTCTCATAGAAACTCGTTTCACATCTCAGCAGCTGCAAGCACAGACTGGGAAACTGCCTTTACTGTAGCCGAGGTGGGAGCACAGGCACAGAACTAACAGAATAAAGGGCTTACAGTTCTCCTAATGAGATGAAGTTCAAACCGTTCCTGTTTCTGAAAATGGAAGCAGCTCTCTGCCGTTCTCCACAGAGCACATGACAGTGACCCTCAGGATGCATTTCAGGGTATTTCAGCAGTTGGAGGGGAAGTTGACAAGAGTGTTTGTTTCAGGTGTGCAGTCAGTGACGGAGTGGTTGATGCTGTTGGGTGCTTTTATCCTGCGCTTGGCGGGGTCATTTCATATAGGACTCTGCAGAGCCCTAGCGGTAAAAATATTATAACATGTGTTTCAATGAGATGTTATCCACTGACTGAACTTTGAAAAGAACATCAATGTTTTATACCTCACAATCAAATCAAACTCTATTAATTGTGAATAGCAGCTCAAGGCTGGCTGCTACAGTGTACAGAGACAATAGAGAATCGAGTGGAAGAAGGGTACTGCATGCTTCAGATTGCACAGACCCACCTGTCTGCCAGGCAGTGCTCATTTTGGGAGTTTCCCAAATACAGGATGTGAAGAAAAGAAAGAGTTGTGCTGAAACCTCTTCGCGCAGAGTCACGCCAAAAAGAAAGCAGTCCCCAAATACATCAGAGCCGGGCTTGCAGGCTGGGGCTCACAGTCACTGCATAGGAGATCTTGCCACTCCTAGATTATTTTAGCTCCCACCAATTACTGAACCCCACATTTATCTTTTTTTGTAAACATCACAAAACTGACATTCTGAGCCTGAAGGGCAACCTCCCGTCTAGGGTTCATGAGTTCATACACAGAACATAAAGAGCGGGGTGACAGCTGTCTGTTGGTATGAGAAAGCAGTGAGGCGGACCCAGCTACTCTTAAGACTAAGAAAACACTTTTTGGGTGGGTGTAAAATGGTCTGCTGCTCTAAGTCAAGCCTGACCACTTGTCTGGGACCTGTCTCTCCTAGGATGAAGACATTAGTGTTTATGTGCTCAGTTGTTTTTTTGTTTGTTTGGTTTTTTTTTTGTCCAGAAGTTACCTAAAATTTAGTGTTTCATTGTTTTCAGGACAAAAAACCAGCAACAACCCCAATTTATACTTAGTATCATGTGTTATTTGTCAAATTGTTTACATATTATTGATTAATGTTAATGAAGTTGTAAATATATTTCCATAGGACTAAAAAAGAATTTGCTTTCATCACCTTGAACTAAATAAAAAGAAACAAGCACCCTTAAAAACAACAACAGCAACTCCAAAAGTACCTGTCTACAGCTAGTGTTGTATCTTTTATTTGTTTGTTTCGATCATGGTCTGAAACTTATTATATAGACTAAACTAACCTCCAACTTGCAGAAATTTTCCTGCCTCTGCCTCCCAAACGCTAAGGTTAAAAACTTAACCTACTATGTACAACTCCCAACCTGCAATTCCAAATCTGCAAGTCTTATTTTGAGAGACTCTCTATGTATTCCTTTGCTCTGCTGGGCTTTTGACTCAGGTCCACATGGTTAGCCACTGTCTTAGTTAGGGTTTCTATTGCTATAAAGAGGCACCATGACCATGGCAACTCTCATAAAGGGGAAAAACCAATTTAATTGGGATGGCTTACATTTTCACAGGGTTAGTTCATTATCATTACGGTGAGGGCGTGGTGACTGGGAGCATGGCAGTGTGCAGGCAGATGTGGTGCTGGCTACATCTTGATGTACAGGCAACAGGAAGTGGTCTAAAATACTTGTGCATATATGAGACTTCAAAGCCTGCCTCCAAAGTGACACATTTCCTCCAACAGGTCCATTCCTACTCTTACAAAGCCACACCTCCTAATAGTGCCACTTTGTATGAGCTGTGGGGGCCAATTACATCTCAAGTACCACAGCCACCAAGCACTGCGGCCCATAAAACACCTCCTTTGCATCTGAAACTGCCCGATGGCAACATCAGCTTCATATGATAGCATTTTAAAATGCATTTCCATGGATGCCTCACCTCTTCTTGAGCTTTCGGCCTCAGATCACTCTCCATGAATACCACAGAAAGAGCTTCCCTGCCCAGCATGACCGGCAAACTGCTCAGTGAGTTAATGCGTTCTTACAGGGCTGGCTGCCCCAGGGCTTGGGCAGCTGTGTTCTGTTACACATATTGCTCTCTCTTTTAATTTGTGTTCCCTGATCTTGATCTTTGTGTTTACTTTTGCTTATTTCTTTAGCAATCCAAGAGCTAAATCTCCAGGTAGCAGTGGATACTATTTAGGAAAAATAAGCATTTCCAGGAAAGCAAGTGCAAACCACTTCAAAATTTTACATTTATTTTTACTCTTTGCTTTATTATTTTTTTACAAGTATGAGTCCTCTGCATGAAAATTTGGCCCTTAGTATTTTCTTGCAGTCAACTAGATTTAACAGTTACAGCCTGTAAGTAAATACCAGATTTGTCTACAAGTTGAATGAAGAGGCTCTGTAAAGTCTCTCTCACACTGTTGTCTACCCACATAGCTTATTGTGAAGGCCGAAATCAAGACTCCCTTCTTCAGGATAGAATTAACCCTTGAGCCAAGGTACTTGCGTAGAATTTTAGCTCCCACCACACCCCTGACTGGGTGAACAACTGACAAACCACATTTGTTTGTACAGATTTCATTATTTTCATTTTATGTGTATGAGCATTTTGTTTGCGCGTGTATATGTGCATTATGCATGTGGAAGCCAAAAGAAGACATTGGATCCTCTTGAACGAGTGTAAAATTCATACTAGCCAGGATCCTTTGTAAGGCCAGCAAGTGGTCTTAACCATTGAGCCTTCTGTTCAGCCCCTTGACCAACCATGTTAAATGGCACCATCTCCCAGGACACCACAGACTTAAGACGATGCAGACAGAATAGCTGCATACAACACTGCATGACACTGGAGATGACAAACCTCATGATACTTTTTCACCGTCTTTCCTGAGCTGCAGGTGCAGGACTTCCAGTTGACAGTTCCGCAACCACAGTTGCCCCCACAGCGCTGCACGAGGAGGCATCTCGGGAAGAAGACTGCATTGGTCAACTTCAGCTCCTCCCTAAGATTGACCGAGTGATTCCTGGGAGTGCAACTGTAACGCTTGACGTCATCGTTGAGCCTGTCCAGGTCCACTGTGGGCAAAGATACACAGGCAGCAAGGGCATGAGCAGACTTGAGCATAAGCAAAGATTCTGTTATCAGATCAATTAATCTAATCAGAGATCACTAATGCAGGTGTTAAATTTGTCCTTGGGATCTTACTATGGTTGGAAATAGCCAATTTCTCTTTTGATCCTACATGACATTCCAAATAACAACAAAATCATTAGCTGAAATTTGAATCCTGGCTCAAATTTCCCATAATCTGTGCATGGGTAACATTTTGAGACAGGTTTCATGTACCCAGGCTTGCCCTGAACTTGCCATATAGCTGAAAATGACTGAAGTTTTGATTCAATCACTTCCAGAGTGCTAGGATTACAGGCATGTTCTCCAAGGCCTTGCCTTGGTACTTAAAAAATGATGCAAAAAGAAAAAAAGAAATAAACAACAAAATGGCTCAGAGGTAAGAAAATGAAACATTTGGCGATTCAAATTAATTCTCTTTATCTTTATCTTAAAAACCAAATAAACACACCCAAAATTCCTGCCATTATTTAAATATAATCTGTATCTTATAGGGGCAACATTAGGATATTTGCTCTAATGTTGTCTGATAATTTCTGATATCGAAGTATTTACCTATAAACAATACAAAAAAGTTTTATTTTTAATTCCAAAGCTGATCAAAGTACTAGTGAGAATGGTACTGTAGGACAAACAAGATTCATGTGTGTGCATGAAATTTTAGGTGGGGTAGACAACATGCATGTGTGTGCATGGATTCCTAGGTGGGGTAGACAACATGCATGTGTATGCATGGAATTTTAGGTGGGGTATACAAGATGCATGTGTGTGCATGGAATTTTAGGTGGGGTATAAAAGATGCATGTGTGTGCATGGAATTTTAGGTGGGGTATACAAGATGCATGTGTGTGCATGGAATTTTAGGTGGGGTATACAAGATGCAAGTGTGTGCATGGAATTTTAGGTGAGGTATACAAGATGCATATGTGTGCATGGAATTTTAGGTGGGGTATACAAGATGCATGTGTGTGCATGGAATTTTAGGTGTGGTAGACAAGATTCATGTGTGTGCATGGAATCCTAGGTGAGGTAGACAAAATGCATATTTGTGCATGGATTCCTAGGTGGGGTAAATAATTTGCATGTGTGTTCATGGAATCCTAGATGGGGCAAACAAGATTCATGTGTGCACGGAATCCTACGTGGAGCAAACAATGTGCGTGTGTGCACCGAATCCTCCTTAGTGGGGCCAACAATGCGCATGTGTGTGCATCGAATCATAGGTGGCAGTAGCGTCTTGCTCTTCAGTGAGGATGTGAATTTACCATATGTCTTCTTTCAGTGGAAAGTTGTTTAACGGCTTGGAGCCTCTGTTTCCTCCTCTAAAACATTTAAATATTTAAAAGGTTGAATGGAGTGGACCTGTTATATGATGAACACTGGTTAATATTCTTTATCTTAATTCACTGGATTCTCTCCACTTTTATTTTTACCCCTTTAAAAGTCAATGGTTAAGACAGGATCTCCTTAGTAAATTGGGAGCATGGGGACCTTGGGGGAGGGTTAAAGGGGGGAGGGGAGGGATGGAGAGGGGAGCAGAGAAAAATGTAGAGTTCAATAAAAATCAATAAAAACTTAATGGTTAAAATAAGAAAAGAAAATGCCAGGTTTTCTTCTCTTTCTCTCTTTATAAGTAATTATTAAGTAGTATGCTGAATGGGGATTACAATGAATTCAGAATCTTATACTAAACTTTCAAATCTAAGTTATTGTGATATTTAGTGCTGTCAGGTGACAGGGTTAATTAATAAGGTAAGATCCATCTTAAACATGGGTGGAAACATTCCTTGAGCAGGGATCCTGCATTGCCTAAATGAAAGATGATGTGAGCCTTGGCATTTGTTGCGGCTGACTCTTGTCTATGGATGCAGTGTGAGCAGAGGCCTCCTCAAGCTACTGCTGCTGTGGCTCCCCACAGTGATGGAGCATAATGTCACACTGTGAGCCAAAGCAAAGTCAATGTTCCCACATTGCTTGGTGGTGGGGTATTTATTACAGCAACAGAACAGCAACCAAGACCATAAACATGCACCTGTGTAATTGTTGCCCGAGTTGCATTTTAAAAGGTGTTCTCAGAATTTGCATCTGAATTCTCTGATTGATGAACACCCAAGTAACTTATTGCACAACTACAGTTAGAAGAAAATCCTTCCACCTGCTCTTAGCACCTTACCCTGTGCTCCAGCCAGACTACTGCAGGAGAAATGTCACAGGTACTAAGCAGGCAATGCCATCCTCAGCACGCTAGCCTCTGCAATGCCTTAGTCTTTACATAAAACTGTTGAAGAGCAGGAAGCAGTGATTTCTGGGGCATAGACCAAATGCCAAGTATGGTAGCAAAATGGTTCTGAGAGAAAGACAATTAAGAGAATGCACAGATATGGGCCAAGAGTCCATTAACTCCACACCATCAGAAAACGTCACTGAGAGTAAGACTGAGTGGCCATATGGCCAGGTGACCCTTGAATGGAAGTTAAATGGCACCGGGATTGATGGGCTGCCCTAAATGCCCTCTCAGATAGACAGCTGTGCTTTGATTCTCAAGGGCAGCAGTTTATTTCTAGCTGTTATGTGCTGAGCCCAGGACGCTGTGGGAACTCCATAAATGCTAAATAATCACTGTGCATAATTTACTGCTGTTTTTTCTTCCTTTGTAAAGACATGTCATAAGTTTAGCTATAATCAATCCAGCTTTAAATTGAATGAACTCTGTCTTGGGAAAGAAACCATTTTTATTGCTGCTAAATCCCTGCCAACAACTGCAAGCAAAAGAGGAAGGATTGCATAAACGGATTAAGAAGTGCAGCAGTCAGCCATTACAAGTGTCACCTTGAGATAAATACTTATGCTGGCCTGTGCATTATTGGGCTGCTAGACCAGGCTGAGATAGAGGGCCAAATCTGCTGCCAGCGATAATGACAATGCGTTTGTCCAACAGGAGAGAAAAGAGATGAAATTAATGTGGGGGTGGGTGGGTTCATGACGCCCACAAAGATAAATCAGGGCATACCCACACTGAGCTGTTTCCTCACTCCTCACTGCCGCCTTGTACTAGGAACTTCCACACATGACTACATTGCTTTGCCCCCATCTTTTTTTTGGGAGAAAAACAAAAGTGAAGGGAAAATGGTAAAGCTGTAGTTAATGCCCTTGCTTTTTTTAGTCCATAGCCTCACAAGCAGAGGCCACTGGTGGAAGAAAGAAGACCAACACCACTGGACCTGTATCAGGCTTTTTTAACTGATGCGAAGCTGAAGGTGCTATAGTGAGTGGCCACACACCCTCGCATGCAGGGTAGCTGAGCCAATTTGCTGCATGCCTTCTCCATGAGGTTCCTTCAGCAATCCAGGTAAAATACACAAGTCTAGGTCTCCTTGGAGACGCCCCCTTCCCCCTTGCTGCAGAGATGTTTCTTATAGCCATGCACTGCTCACTTCCACTTCTCGCTGGAAGAGATTTACGTGGCTGCCAGTTAACGCATCAAGTCACGGTGATAGCTGTGGCACCAGGGGATGGAGGCTGCAGAGGCGCTTAGCTTAGAACAATAGGGCACAGGTTCTTCTGACTGGCTGAAGAAAAAGTGACAGCCCAGTCGCAGACATTCTGCATCATGTATTGAGTTTCCAGTCATTACAGAAATGAGTGAGAACTCAAGGCTTCGGGTTTTCCTGCTGGAAGGAGTACTACAGTGTGAGTTTCCCTGGGGACTGAGGAGAAGGGGCTGCCCTTCCTTTGCCGTTTCCATCTCTGTGGCTGAACAGCAAAAGAGCCGCAAGGATATTCCAAACTTAATTCAAATGTTGATCACTTTCCTCTAATTTTCTTTATTTCACCAGATATATTTTTAGTATCTCTTTGGCATCAATTAATAACCGGGTACTCTGCACTGATAACGTTCTATCTAGAAATGGTAAGAAGGTTCCAAGATGCAAACCTCCTTCTGAACATAGTGATCTAGAGTAGAATGCTGTCCTGTGGGACAGGGTTAGGAAATACCTCCTTGCTACAACCTCAACCCTGTAGTGCAGCCCAAGTGTGCTGTGGTATGCCTTCCCTCTGCATTCTTGAAAGAGGATATGAATGGACACCTCTGTCTCATGTCTAATAGATGAGGGCTCAGGCAGGGGCAAAGCCAGCCTGTCTTGTCCCTGTCTTTTAGACTAGTAGTGTGAGAAACTGAACCATGTTCTCATGTATGACCACATAAATCATCCATATGAACAAGCTTGAGTTTACTTTCATCACAGAGAAAAGAGAATCTCTGAAAAATCAAGAAAGACAAAAACAAAACCCAAGCATCTCTAGTTCCTCTTTTAGTGATCTGCAGGTTTATTTCCTCTCCCTACTGTGTGGGTCCTGATGGGAGCAGCAGACACAGTTCATTTAAGATTATTCTTTTAGAACTACATGACAGCCTCCAGTTAAAGCAGGGTCAAGCCAAAGAAAATACACCTCATCTTTATGACAGATTTCTCTTTTCCTAAGAATTGACATTCAATAACTAACAACTCCATGAATGAATTGAAGAAATTATTCATATTCTTTTAGGCATAATCTTTCCAATCACACACAGAAGGAGAAATAATTTGAACCAAATTATTGTCTCAGATGCTGGGATGCTATTCTTTCTAACCTAACCTAGAAAGTGTTCTGAAAGGTGATCAATAAGGGCTGGGAAATCAGAGCTGTAGAATCAGCTGTTCCCTGGAGACAGTTGCAAGAAGACCCATGGCACCTAGAGCCTGGCTTCAAGGACGCTGCCTCTCAGATGTCCACCTGAAGTGTTGAGAAACACAGCCCTTGCTTAATGTGGACCACCACATCAACCTGGTAGGAAGAGCTGTTGAGGGGACACTGATGCTTCAACATAGATTTCTAGCCCTGAGGTGAGAGAATAAGTGAATAAGTGAGTAATTGTATTATTGTAACAAGCCACCAGATGCTC